CCTGCTGCTCATCAGCTGATGGCGGAGGAGCTTCAGAGGCTAAAACGTTTCCATTTTCTGCAGGCCCTTGCGTTACCTGATCTGATGAGTAACTTAAACCGTTTCTCTCAACGTTTCTTGTAGCACCATTAAGCATTACTAAACCACCGTCATCTTCCAAGGAAGATGGAAAACCCAAGTCCTGATGTAGTTCATGCTCCTCTTCATCTGAGTCAATGTGAAGCATAGCATTAAGTCTTGTGTCAGTAGGGAAGCTACTCCTCAGTTTTGGGGAGGCTCCACGGGGACGCTCACTACAGGCAGACGTCCCGGGTCTGGGATGATTAGTGTGTTCTATTGCATCCAGATAGTCATTTAGTGAGTCCTGGCGACCTCTGGTAGGTGATGATCTTGAAGCACCAGAGGTCCACTCATCCTGGTCTGTTTCCAAAGTTGTACTAGTCCTTAAAGGGTGCCTTAGGATTGCTTCTCCAGAAGATTCCTCGAGGACTGGACCATTGGAACACACGGTGGAGGTATCGTGATGTCCCGCTGGCATGTCCTCATCATCAGAGGGACTCCCCAAGTCTCCATTTACAGAGTTTACTCCTAGCAACGTGCCAACTGTTTCTGGTGAAGCATCTGCAGAGACAAAGACCGAACGTGAAACACAATGGAGCAGAGAGTTTGGTCTACTCTATCTGCATCACAGATGTATATTTTTCTATCACATCTTTCAAGACTTTAGCTTATTTCAATCAGACAACCAAGGGAAGAAAATACAATGAAAACAACAGAGACATCTACAGCGTTATAACAGCAATTACAGAATTTTCTCTGTGTAAGTCTATACTATTTTGCAGTAGATACAAAATTTAAGGATTAGGAAGTATGACTTTGAAGGACTCCCATTTTCCTTTCAAAAGACAAAGCACTGCTGAGCACCTTGCCAAACTCTCAGTAAAACAAGCCTCACAAGCAAGGAAACAATTTTCTACAGCATGTCTCTCATATCCAAAAAGTAGGATTTACACAAAGCCAGTCACTGACACCAGTTCTCGCCCTTAGCAGCATGCAAACCAGCATCTGAGATCACATCAGGAATCAGAAATTGTGTACAGATATCAAATTCTATATGCAATATTTATTTTGATTTCATTTTCAGGACTTTGCACTGTAAAGAATGGGAATCTCCTTAAGTGAAGTCCATGAGATATTAGATATGCTATGGTAATACATGTAAAAAGGAAATGAAAATAAGTCATCTCTGAGAGATGCGATGGTAATTCCCCACACAGAGATTAAACAGGCATAGAGTTGAATAATCCAGCTGTAAATGTCTGCACACGCCTGCAAGAAACCCAACAGTGAAGTCAGTGCACTAGGCTGCCTGGCAACAAACAGGACTGAAGACAGAAGCAGTTTTTTAATGGTGACAGAGCAAAAATATTCATGAGATACAGGACTACATGGTTATAAAAAAAGGCAAGAAGGTTGTATCAAGTTAAGATACAGCAATATCATGCTATCAGAGATGATAATAAGTCTAATGAAGGAGAACCTAAGATCACAAACATGTCAACAGACACATATGATGCAACAAACATTTAACTGTACCAGCCATGTTCTGCTAGTTGCCTTCAGAACAAGAAAAAAAGGGAAGTAAAATAATTGCCTAATAGAAGGATGTATTCTCATAACCATAACAGATATTCTTGGTTCTAGGCAGGACAGTCCTGTGAAAGAGGGACAGGACACAGTGATCTGCATGTACACTAGCTGGGGAGGAGAGCACTGGTGGAATCATAACTGCTTATCTCAGCCAACGTACTGCAGAGCCAAGAGCTTACAATGTGAAGAGAAACAATGAATTTGATTATCCAATCCATCCTATAAAATATGAATCATAAGCAGATTCATTTAAAAATCTATCTAAAAAATAGGAAACCAATAGAATAAGTGGTGACGTTTTGGAATTTACCATCTCCAAAGCAGCACCTAACATAAACTCTCTACATACAACTATCTGGAGATGCAGATCATTGAGAAATTCTCACCTTCATGAACAGAAGATGTGATTTCCACTTTAAATTGGAGATATCCACTTACATGATCAGCTGGGAGCCTTCTGCCAAGATTATAGCTGACAACCTGGTCTCTGCAAAAACAAAGATATTTTAACAGATTTTATTTATGCAGTATTTTGCATCAGAGTCTCTTATCAGATAAGAGTCAGTGCAATGGAAGGCAATTTCTATTGCAATCTTAAAATCAGCCACATACTTTGGCTTGTATGGAAAAACACAAACACCAACTATGGTGTAAAATACCTTTAGTTAACAGACAAAACAGCCTAACAACTTTTGATCATTTCTAAATACAGACTGTGCCCCAGCAATTCTTATATAGCCCTAAACCTCTTCTTAAGTCTTAAAGGAATCAAACTGCATGGGATCTCTTTCCCCGAACCTCCTCCCTCTCAAAGTACCTTTTTTAATTAACAAAACCTTTCATTTGTTAGAACTTTCTGCCCCCTTGTGGTTTTTACTATGTACAAAATTCCCAGATAGTTTCTTCACGTTTTAGTTCTTATTCAATACAGCACTTCTGCATTCCTATTTAGAAAAGCTATTAGTGCTTGGATTTAATTTCAAACACATTCTTAAGAGTTATTGAATTTCATGGAACTCAGACTTGATTAAGCACTTTTATCAGCTTGAGATTTGGGATCAGATCCTAGGCTATACATTTTTATTAGGCACAGCCAGAATTCACAGCCCCAGACCCCTCAGCACAGCTGCAACAGCTGAAGGGAGAGGAGGGAGCTACTGAAGATGGAAATTATTGTTATTCATGCAAAAAAATTTATGTTGGTGTAAACACCTCTCCTTTGCTGGGAGCACTCCTACTGCAATATGAGTGACAGACTGAAACAAATGCAAGGTCATCAAAGAAACAAGCTGCAGCAGTTTGCATCCAAACATTAACTTCTAGCAAAAAAAATGAGTGGACAACATCAGCAAGGCAGCCTCCCCATGCTGCTCTGTAGGCTACAGGACAGCAAATAATTATAGTAGTGGCTCCAGGATCTGTCACAGATTAATGGCTCTCTACTCCAATTCTTCAGCTAGACTTGGGGGTATCCTCAGAAGAAGGCCATTTGAGGTTTCCACAGTTTTTATATAAGGTTTATATTACTCTAGGCCATTCAAGATTAGAGGAAGCCACAACATGTATAATGCATCCTCTATATTCAGTTGAATCAATACTAGATGATTCTCATGCTCATTTATCATGTTTTCCACAAAACTCACAGCCACTGGCCATGCTGTCACCCAAAATAAGAGCTATAATGACAGTTAAATGTGGGGCATAATTTTAATTAGTCTGTCTAAAAGTGGCCAGTTCTGGCCTTCACCTTTTCATTCACTAATACAGATCATTAATATAGGGAAGGGCAAGTTAAGCATATGGTGCACTCTAAGTCCTTGGACTTTGTTCATGTAATTTTTCAAGTTCACGTGTTCACCCAGTAGAGGTTTTCAGCTGTCCTTGATATTTACAAAATTAAAAAGGAAATGAAGGTATTTTACTTGCCTCACCAAAGCCAAAATAGAAGAGAATTATCACTTATCATATGTTTATTAAATTTCTATTTCACATCTATATTAACCATTCCTTTACTTTGCAAAACTCCTGGTGAAATGTTGTCTGTCTTTACGATGTCTAGGAAAAAGGAACCTTGACAGCTAATTGGCACACAAAGCCTATAAATTGACAAATAAATTACAGATGAAAACTGATTTCGTGTCTGTTCTAATAGCAGTATGGCAAAACCAAGCTAATACTTACCCATATGCTTGCAACATTTTTATTACACAGCCCTACCTTTTCTAAAAAAGATTTGATGTATCAAATATACAGAACTGAAGTATGGAGAACAAAACAGGATGTGTCTTGAAAAGACATAGACTGGTTTGAAAAGACACAGACAAGAACTGATGAACATAGCAAATAGGTAATTTCCAGCCAGAAAATTATTTTGGGGTTTAGCACAGTAATGAATGCCCTGAACTAGGTTTTCAAACCAGTTTGTATGACAGTGCTATTTTTGAGTGTATAGTAGTGTGCAAATTTATTAGAAAAAGCTGCTTGCTCAACTTATCACAATTTGTTGAAACTGAAAGACGAAGCATTTCTTAGAAAAATTAGATTGTGTATACACCCTGGACTGCTCTTGGATACCACTGCAAAAGATTTAATTTTATTTTCTCCATTTATGCAACTTGTTACTTTGATGGGAATATCTGTGAAAGAGGAGGCCAGTCATTTATGTCCTGCTTTTTGTGCAAAAGTGTGATGATGCTGCCATACCCTTAAGCTTTCAGGGAAGAACATACTAATTTTATTTCACCATCATTCCTCAGGGGCCTCATCCAGGGGCCTTTTAAAGTTAATGGAGACACATTTAGTAGGTTTTAGTTAAACTTTAGTAGACTTTGAGTTACATCTTATACAAAAAACCACTTGAATAATTCAGTTCCTCCCACTGTCTTTCAAGGAATTATTTTTTTCTTATTTATCGCAGCAAATACATGTAAAAAGATGTTAGCAAAATAACACACCCTACAATTACTGCTCTGTCTTAAATGGAAACTTGTATTTTTGCACACTGCTGCACCTCTTGCAGACCTCCACCCACTTACTTCACACCTACAATGTATCACTGTGCCTAATCATCAAGTCTCAGGCTCTTCTCAGTGTGTATGGTTGGACAAAGGCCTCATTGGATCACCCACTTGACCATGCCGTGGTCTCCCCAGTAACCATCATGAAGTATAAAGCATTTTAAGTTTCTAAGTGACTTACATCTTTATACCAGAACAGTTAGCTATCCAAAAATTAACAGAATTCTTTTCAAACAGCACAAGAGGTGAATTTTGAGTCCCATCAGTGAGCTACTGAAAGCAAAAGGCAATTTTAATTATGTAGCACTGCCAGCACTCTGAAAAATAAGAAGTCACAGCCTTGTAGTTTGGTTCAATTAGTTGAACAGATATTAAATCTCTGATTATTAAACTGACAATTAAAAATACTTGACCTGTAAAAGAAGAGAGACTATAAAATTAGCTTCTTCTAAAAAATTTGCACACATTCATGTAGGATTGCCATAATGCCTTGCTTCTTGACTGTTCTGCAAGGGTAACATTTTTTTGCACAAAGAAATTAAGGTGAAAACAAATTCTAGGCAAACATATACACAAACATGGGCACATGCATCTGGAACAGGGTCAGGAACAGTGATATCCTCCAATAGCATAAGGCTATTAAAATTCTTACTAAATTTCTTACTACAGATGCAGTAGAACTTTGCTGGTCTGTGCCAGGAAGCCAGAAAGGCTGCTCTGCTCCAGTTATCCTAGATTCTGTGCCTCCCTGATCAATGGAAGTTAGCATTAAGAATGTATTAAATTTACCCAATGTATTAATTTACCCAATTGCATGTCTCTCCAGGAGTCTCTGAACTGGTATGGTTAACTTCCCAAGGAAGCGCTTGATGATCGGACGGCTCTTGGCAAATTTATCTTTAACCTCAATTTCCAGGACATCTGTTAGAAGTGCAACAAAAGAATATTTCTGGAAGGAAAGAACATATTTAACACCATATCAATACCCTTTTATTCAAAAAGTATCTACATAACTGCTACTAACATGCAGTGAACTGCAAAAGCAACAATTGATGACAGCAGTTTCCATACTGCAAAATAAAGTCAACATCATTTATTAAGCACTGTATTTTTGCAAATGTATTTAACCTCTCAGGAAGCCCAAACCCTTTTACTGTTCCTTGGAAGTAACTGATCAGTAAGAACACGCACTAGAGAAAAGTAGTTCCATGGTCTGTGTTGGAAAGGAGAAAGCAAGCAACGTATCCTAGTGTTAGGGTATCAACCAAATGTATCCTTACTGTTTGGACAGTAGAAACCAAAAAGAGAAGGAATCCTTGCTGTATTTTATCAGGTTACAGAAGAATAGACAGGTCAACACAGGAGGAAGGAGGAAAGTGTCTCTCTCTAGGCTGTGTTTAGTGAACTTCCCTTCCAACACCATGCTTGGCATTCATTTTTTGTATGCATGACAAGAAATCAAAAGGGCAATGTGTATATAGCATTTTCAGGAGCACTGCAACTGAAGGAGGAAAATTTTCTATAGATTTTTGCCCCAAAGTTCACAAATCAACTCAGAAGATTCCAACAGAACCTTTTTCTGCACTTGGAGCCTTTAAACAATGTCGTGTTAATTTATAAAAGATTTCTTTAGGTTGGGTATAATCATTCTTCCATCTTCCCCTGTGAGGGAACACTATAACAGCTACTGTCTTCAGCCTAGCATCAATATTCATGCAGTTTATGAATACTTCATTGTCGAGATCTGTGCTGCTCTGTCAAGTCTGACTCAAGACAGCCAAAAGCTTCAAAAGTGGCACAGGGCAAATATCTGAGCAGGCATCTGGCAGACACAGACACACACAGAGTATGGTAACAAATTCCCTCACAAAAGCAAGCTTAGGAACAAAGATTTTAATTTTTCCTCTAGACTTTAAGATACTTCAGATAAACAGATAACCTACTCAGATAAGCCGAGGTCATCTGCTTATACTTTTACTATCTGTCATCTTTAAGACTCCTGAGCAAATCTCAACCTACTTTTTATGAGGCATTGTACTCAATGTCTAATATGCATCTGGCTGGACAGCTAAAGATGCATTGAACAAGGAACAAAAGAAGGAACCACTCTTCAGTTCAGCTGTAGACATCAGCTAAACATATTCAAAACCAGTAATTAAATTGGGTCAGGAATAAAAACACTTCTTCATGCTGGGCAACTGTCGGAGCTGGGCTCCTGTGATAAGCAGAACTTAAAAATTTGTCACCCTCAGTTTGCTATAAAATTGCAAATTATTTCACAGAAAGGAGTGGATGTAAACCAGGATCAATTCTGCACCACTAGGACAGCATATGTAATGGGATCAGAAGCTGCTGTCAGAGCATTGCTACAGGGAAGATAAGGCAGCTAAAGCAAGCTGATACTATGCGTGCAGCACTGAACATTAGCACTTTTCCAATAAGCTTCAAAACCAAGGAGAACTGGAAGAGAAAAAAGGAGAAAAATAAGACCAGATTTTCTTTCTGTCTGCTGGATAGATGGATGGACGGACAGAAAGATGAAGAATTAATTTAGAGATTAGAACTCTGATTTTATTTAAGATTTTAAGACTTCTCCACGCATCTACATTCTTTCCTTCAACTGAACACCTCAGAGCAGAGTGAACGCTGGCCCTGCTCTGCTCTGCTTTACTGCTTGTTTGGTTTGATTATGATTTGTGGGAACATGTTCAAAAGCCCACTCAATTTTCCAGTCTTCCTAGAGAACGTGTTAGCATCCATCAAACACAGCACAGGCATCTGCTCATTACAGAACAGGCACAGCTCAAGAATGATGCTCACTGGCCCTGAAAGGGTTATGGGCTTGCATCAGTATTTTCACCTCATTTCCCATAAAAAGCATTTCTCTTCAAAGGCACAGCCTGGCTCCTCTGCACTCCAAGGCAGCTGTGGGACTGAGTTCCTTCTCTTGAGACCTGCACAGCTTACCCAATACAAACACATCTGGAAAAACAGCTTCTGCCAAGCTGCCTTTTTCCCCAGCCCTTGCTGTGAGTGGGGCTGTAATGCCTCCCTGGGCTTTCCTTCCTCCAGCAGTGCACACAGAGGCCACCCCAAAGAGCAGCCCTCTGCCCAGCACAAGGGAAAGCTTCCCACCCGCTCTGCACAATGAGCATATCATCTCCAAATGAGCAGTTGCAATCACTGAGCATAACTGCTCACCTACCATACCTTTCCTTAGAGAGTCTTTTCACAACGTATAATCCATTTTAATTAATTTATTTTTGCAGTTTTGAGAAATCTACAGGGCTGCTGAGTGAGTTTAACCCTCGTTAGCAGAGAAGAGAATGAAAACCTCACAGCAGTGCAGCTTATACACACAGATGATAGCTACTTCTACCCAACAACAGGGTTCCTAAAATTACTACAATTCCCATGTCAGTTTAAATAATTAACTGCAAAATAAACTCACAGCCTTCAGAGAGTAAGAACTATTGCATAAAGAGAAAACACAAGCCTGGTACACTGCCCTAGCTGGCAGGCAGCATTCAGAAGTGATCTATTACCTCTCTGTGCCAAATGGGGTTAGTTGTGTTACTGATGATAGTCGACCTTCTTTCCTGCCCATGGTGAGCAAATGTAGGAAATGTACTTTTCTTGCCTGGCTGAATGGACATCTTTAGATAAGGATCAGGGTTGAAGAACATGCCTTTTTTAAGTCCAACTGCTCTAATATCTATAAAGTAAAACAAGAAGGAAGGAAAAAGGAATTGAGTAAGTTAAGGCTCAATCACAAGGTAGCCCATTCTTTAAAATATTACCCAGGAAATCAATTCATCCGAAACTACCAAATAAAGCAACTTAAAATTACTCATACTTTAACTGGTTCCAGTGTTCAGAAGATGGTTAAGGCAGGAAGTCAAGTGTTTTCCCAGAAGAACACAGGGAGTAAAGCTATCAACATCCTCATTTACATCTTAGTCTCCAGTCATTTGCAAAAAAAATCAATAAATTAATAGCATGAACTTGTAGCTCATCTACAAATGTTTTTTTCTCAGTCTGTATGGTATTTCCGCTCTTAAAAAGGAACACTAAAAACCACAAAAAAACCCCATCACATAGTACTTGCAGTGTTTCTGGGGCAGGTGCTAAGATAAAAATCTGTATGGGGTGTAACGTAGTGAACTCACACTTTGCGTCACAAAGTTGAGACTTCGATAAACATAACTTCAAAGTTGCTCTGGACTAACACTCTCTCCTAACTTAGAAGATAACCTAAGAAGATAATATAAAAAGATGCAGAGTTTTCTGAAAATGCTTCTTTCTTCCTAGGGAAACCTCAGCACTGTAGCCCTTCTGACTTTTAACAAAAAATAATATTTTCCTCAGGTACATATTCTCACACCTAAAGACTTTAATGACAGTGCAAGTTTCAACAAGAACCAAAAAAAGGAGGTATTTTTTAAGGTAATATTAGTTTTCAAACTTAACTGAAAAAATATTTCTCTGTTTAGGTTTGCTGAAGCCAAAGATTTTTGTGTCTTATCCCATTAGATATTCCAATATGCTGCATTCAGTCTTCATGACTAATGGAACTGGCACCTACATACTTAGATTAGCAGTTTGTACACACAGGCCAAATTAAATTCACTGCACTAAATGAAATGCCATGACTGTGGATTCAGTAAAAAAAAAAAAAAAAAAAAATCCTACTCAATGTTCAAAATTAAGCCACACAGTACAAATACCACAAAATAAAGGGAAATTGCCTTTAAAAGCAACAATTTTGCACATGCAAACAAGCAACCAAAAAAACATTACAGACTTATCAGTCAACACGTCTTTCAAAATTACTTTAGGGGACTCAGGCTGAGTCACAACCTTCTATTAAACACAATATATTTTTTTTTTATTTCACAAACCAATTCTTTTTATAGTACTCCATGTGAGTCTATAGAGCCTATAGCTCTACCCCAGATAACTCCTGAAAGACTCTTTCAAAAAGTGGTTTGTTTTCTGCTCTGCCCCTAGAATCTCTGAATGTTTTCATTGTCAGTTCTTCAAGACTCAGTAGCGATTTTTTTTCTGTCTTTTCTCAAGTTGAATGTGCTTTGGTCTCACACAAGACTTCCTGTGGAATGAAGTGCTAACCAAAACAAGTGAAGCTGGTAGACTGTACCCCTCAGCTACTTTGCTGTAGTGACAGCTTAGCTCTGTTAAAAGTAAAGATTTTTTTCCCTTTCTAAACAACCATTTGCAGTCATTGCTTTTTTACCACTTTAAAGAGATGGAACCAGCTTGCATTTTATTTAAAAGCTAAGTTTTGCACTCTTCAATCTGTGAGGAACTGTCCCTTGTGCAAACTAGAAATTTTTCCAAAGTTTTAATGCTGGGATCCATCAAATCCATTTCTTTCACTCCTGGAGGTTCACCATTCTGGCTTGTTTTCAACAAACAGAAGTTCTAAAGAAATGGCATCTTTCAAGCCACTAGAGTGTGCTCCTACAGAGGCTAATGAAGAAAAGTGTTCCATCTTTGATGTCACTTACAACAGCAATTTATCTTCTTTGACAGTAATTTGTAAAACACGGAGTAGTGTTGGGTTTTTTTTACCTGATAGGGTAAAGCTGACTAACTTCCTAGAGTGGTGGGCTCCAGAAGCACCTTCATCTGTGCCTTCCACTCCCATCTGGAATAAAAAAAAAAAAAAAAAACAACCAAACAGAAAAACAAACAACAGACAGAGCAACAGCATTTTTTTTTTCTTCTAGGAAAATATCTATTAAGCTATGTAGTGCTAATACACCAGTACTTGGAATCTTCCAAACAGAACACCTATAGCCTAATACACATGCAGACACTATTAACTGGAGAAAAGGAGACTCTATTTTCTCACGTTTCTCTTTTGTAAAATAAAGTCAGCAGTATGGGTTGGTAATACATACCAAAGCACTGAGCTGGCCAGTGACAGCATGTGTAACTTTTGTCACTTTCCACAAATAGATAATTTACTGTGCAACAAAAAAAAAGCAAAGGGATCAAAGAGAGACTAACAGAAGCCTTCAGATCTATGAACAAATGCTTCTTTTAAAGAGAAAAAAAATGTATCAGATATCTAAATACAAATGTGGTCTAAAAGCTTATGCTTCATAGATTTTCAAGTTTAGTTTCTACTGAAATTCCTTGTTAGGTAAAGCACTACTTCAAAATAAAATGTTTCTAATGTATTAATGTCTTACTAATGTCTAGCTCTTTCAACTAGCAGAAGACTGTGTCTTTCAAGGCAGAGTTGTGCATGCAGCTGAATAATCTATCATGAAGACATCATGGAGCTATCTTTAAGTTAAATGATTGTCCAAGTAGGCACTGCACTCACTACCAGGGAGAAGAGGTGACACAACCTGATGAAAAAGCTTCAGCCAAACACAGTGCTGGGGATTAATACCAGCCATAGAACAGGAAATCACTTGATCTATTAATGATAAAAAAATAAGCTGAATAAAATCTCGCACCCCTATGTGTGTGGATAAAGCAAGTAAAGCAGTTTTGAGCAGCTGTTTGAAGTTATCCTTCAATATCTAGCAGGGGAATGCTATGTATCCCAATTTGCTCTTTTGGGCTTATTCTAGCATGCACTGTTTTCTTGTTAAAAATGTTATTCAACAGCAAGGTTTACCTCATTCTATAAGCTACTTTCTGCTACATCACTGACTCTGAATAATGTTTATATTGCTGATCATGACTTCAGTTTATAGAAAATAGTATTTGCCCACACTTCAGCTATAAGAAAACTATTTGTAACAGTGTTCTCTAGAACCTCCATGGTTCTACTATATAATGCTTGCCTGCTCCATTATGATCTAAACAGGGACTTCAATTTTTTCTGTGCCAAGTGCAAAATTTCATCCCACCACACACGCTTAGTTTTTTGCACTAGAAAGTCCATCTCATCTGGTGTAACACAGTGTTTCTGAATGCTACATCAGGCTTTGTACTTCCACTAGTTCAAATGAACACAACAGAATATTAGTTGCCTGTCCAAAGATAAGATGGACTGAAATGCCTGCTGTGATACATTGTCAGTATGAGGAAAACCAGAAACACATCTCCCACCAAACCATGTAAAGTGAAAACCCAGAATGACCCAAGTAAGCAGGTCATCTACTATAGCTTTAAAAAAGAGAGTTAGCATGCCACGGCTCCCTTACAACTTCCAGGAACAGCATTTCTGTAACAACAACCAACTCCTGCCAAGAGAACAAGGTATTCTCTAGGGCACAGTGCCTAAGGTCAACACCAAAACAGTGAAAATGGTGTGAGGTAGTAACATTTAACAATAGGTATCATTATGTCTAACTAACCCAATATGGTATTTTTAGGAAGCCTCATCTGAGCTGTCATATGCTATTCTCATCAGGGAAAACATTTATATAAAATTACACCTTCTAGCAGGTGTATAAATTCTGAACAATACTTGGGACCCTGTGTTACCTTTCAAAGGAAAGAATTTCAAACAGCAACAGCTGGTTAACCCTTGCTTAACCTTAAGGTTGACCAATGACTCTGAAATACAGGTCTCCAGGTAGCTACCAAGTAAATAAATGCATATTCAGAAGTTCAGATGTCCTTCTGTGAAAAGATTTTCAAAAATACCCACAACTAATATGACAAGGCCAGGAAAACACACATATTCCAATGGTTCCTCCATCCAATATAATAATTCTGCTTCTCTTCAGTAGTGATATAGTGCAGCACATAGCCCATTTTAAATGGTCATTTTAAGCTGCATTTTTCCCTTTGTTCAAAATTAATCCACCTAACTGTCTTTAGTTTATAAATTGATACTAAAGACAGTGGCTCATTAAGTGTAACACATTTCCTTCTGTAAAATAGCAAGAGTTCACATTACTGCTGCAAAATGATATTATTCACAGCCAGATATGACAATTAAATGATGCTATCACCTAGGTCCATAACTCTAAGAGAAAGAAAAAAAACCTTTTGGTGTAATGAGATTTAAAATTGAGTATAGCACATCTAGCATCATATAGCCACAGCATTCACCTGTATATAATATACAAAGCTGAACAAGTGCAGGATCAGAATAAAAGTTATTCAGTCTGAATAACTTGTGCTCTACAGGATCTCCAACACTTTCTCAGGACACCATCCTGACAGATGTGATTTTAAGTATTTGGCAACTAATATAAATGAACCAAACACTGTGAAACTTCATGGCAGCTGAAGAGCTAGCCTATTAGATAAATTACTTCCATCAAAAGTTTGGAGGATCTTCTTCCCCTGCTTATTTAAACAAATTTTAAAACTTCTACTGTTTCAAAGGAACATCTCATAATGAAAGCGTAGTAAGACAGCAGCAATTCTAACTAGTCAGAGAATCACTAAATTTCAATGGTATATGAACACTTCAAAAATTCAGCAGTTTTTGCAAGAGCAGAGTTTTGTCCAGTCTCATTTTTATACTAACAATTGCTATCTCAGCAACAGCTTCATTTTTAATAATAAGGAATAAGAAGAAATGAAGACTTTTGATAAGGACTCAGTATGAGTTATATAGCCAGCCTGAAAAATTTATGTTATGGTGCTAAATTACAGCAACATGTAAGCCTTGAAACTGAAAAGAAGCAAAAATTAATTCTTAGCATAAAATACCAGTTAAGCTCAGTGAATTTTACTGTTATTTTATCAGGAACAACACAAAACCACAAAAAGCATTTCCCAATTTTGGTCACTTTTGTCAGGCAATGTAATTTTTTTTCAAATAATTTCAGCCACTGGTAAAACAAGGAGACTTATATTGACAGGTTTATCTGACATAATATTGTCATCTAAGACCAATACAATGAACAAACAGGCTAAGCTTACCATCACAGCAGGGTTTTTCACAGTGATACATGGAGTAGTAGCTCGGAGGGCTCCACTAACACCATGGTAGTATTTAAAACAGATCTTTATTTCAGCTGAAAATCAAACAAAAATTGCATTAAACCCTTCATGACTGGACCTAGGGAAAAGAGAGGCAATGAAAGGAGCACGTGCATGCAGGGAGTCATAATTCAATTCTGTTCATGTAGTCAGATGCCCATGGTCACTTCTGGGTAAAAAAGGTCTAAATAGTCACAAGCCACAGTTCACACAAAGCCACTTTTGTATGTTTTTTATGGGTCCAGGGGGAAGGAAAGTTGATCAGTATTGACCTCTGATCCTTTTCAAAACAACAGGGGTAATGTGAGTTATTCTTTTTCAGCAGATGTGTAAGCTGCAAACAAACAAAAATTATACATGTTTTATTCTTATATTGTTTTATCATATGAAAGTGGAGTGCTCTCTCTACAGCCTTATACACAGAGGTAGATTTCAAACCACTGATGAAAATGTTTAAAAGTACTTCATCTTGTACTAACTCCTGCAGATCCAAACTCACAAGATTTCCCTTTTTGTGTGACCTTTCAAACCTTTTATTATAATGCAGTATGCCAAACCAAAACCAGTCCTGGACCTGCTAAAATAAGAAAATAAACAGACAACTTGACAATGAGACAAAATGCTATAAAAGTCAAGCTCTTAAAGTTTGGACGTTAGTCCTACAGATATTCTGACATTCTGGCTGGAGTGGAGCTGCAAATATGGCTGATTATGGGGCAAAGCTATTAATATGCTGTCCTGTGAAAGCCTGAGAGCTCCTTCTATATGCATAGGATCCAACATTCAGTGATTTTTCTTCAGAAATACTTCCACAACAAATTAGGAATGGAACAGCTGGTTATATCTTCTTTTCATGTGTTTGGTCCTTCTGTTGCTTAACAGACTGAAAAAATAACTTACCTAATTCTGCAGCTGGTATTTCTGCTACTATTTCAATAGAATCAAGTCATGAAAAAGGTTTACCAAGACATTTGCTACTCTAGGATAATTCTTGTCAGGCTTTGGAAGAAGTTGCATGACATATCTGAAGGAAGCTTGAAGCACTCTATATTGGAATACAGGGAAGGTAAATGCTCCACCATGTTTCTAATCCCATGAAATAACATTTTTTTCTGCTTAACTGCATGTACTGCAAATGAAAGAGTATTATGTTCAACCAGAGCCTGACCTCCACTGTTGTTCCTCTGCATTCTTCCAACTCAACAGAACAGCTATAATCATGGCTGCCCTTGAGCCTGTGGGATCTTCTCCATCTAGAACTATGCCTCTGTTTCCCTTCTCCTTTGGGATAACTCTTCTGTGTGAGGCTGATGAGGGTTTACCTCTGGCTACAGAAACAGCCACAGCAGGCAGAAATTACAGCAGCCAGTGCAGACAGACCACAGGACATACATAAAATCTTGGCAGTTCAAACCCTCTGACTTGGTCTAACAAGATGTAGTTAGCCTCAAAATACGAAATTGCAATGTTTTGTATAAGGTTTTGAGACACATATAGCATGATTCCATGAGGGCTGAGGAATTTCATCCCTGCAAGATAAAACATCCACTTAGCCCTTCTCAAAAGGAGCAGAAATTCATCTTGCAAGCCTGCTCAGCCAAAAAGGACTGTTTATTTTAAAAAAAAAAAAAAATTGCTGCAGTTATAGGTCAATATTTATTTACTATCTTCCTCACAGAACAAAGAGGAGGCACCTCAGAAGTACCCTTCAAAGGCAAGTGCCTGGCTGACAGTGCCCCCAGGGATTTAGGAGGTGGAGGAGCTGCTGATCCCACTTCCTCCTCCTCACAGCTGAGTTCACACGCACAGTCAAAACATGCTCTATTTACCACAAGCTTTGCAGCAAAATTCAAAATGCAGACGGGATTTCTAATCACCTACAAAGGCTTATCAGACCTACAAATTACAGGTTAGGACCTGCAGGTTCTTCCCAAATTAAGGAATTCTGTTGACCAGAACAATGCTACCAACGAATGGACATGGAATAATTTTTAGCTCACAGAAAATTGGTGCTTCAGCACTTCAAAAATTAGGCAGGATTTATACTAAATGCTGGACTCTCCACATTGTAAAATGCACATATTAAGTAACCAGAACTCGAGTCTTGAACATCTCTTAATCACACTGTAGAAGTATGACTACATGAGAGCATGGAAGACCAGGAACTCTTCCACCAAGACTCCTACTTTCCAGCTACACTGCTCAGATTTATTGCAACCTAAATTTTGGTTTCTAGAGAATTTCTGGATCTGCTCATTATTCAGTTTATTGTCACTGACAACAATTTATCTCAGTTTATCACTTCTGAAAAAAGAATCTAGGAAGTGAAAGGTTATCAGCTGCTGCTTCCATTCACAGTGAGTCTGTAAAGTGATGGTGGACAGAAGTTTGCTGTATATTCTCACTACACTGACATGCACATTCCCCTGAAGGTTGAAATGCAATGCTTTGTATCCTCATATTTCTTTCTCTCAATGACTTCTACAAGCATTCAGTACTTTTCAATGCCTGTATGTGGCTGGTGACAGAAGAAAACAATGTTTGCTTCAAGAAATAGATCTGATGATCCCTTTTGTATAAACTAAATAAAAATCAGGACTAATTGCTAGAAATAATTAGAAAAAGACGAGCACTTAAAAACACGATGCAAAGACTTTATCTCCCACTTCCCACAGAAACAGCATTGAGTTTGGGTTCTACACAGCAGCAGACACAGGAACCACAGACCTGCTGTTAGCATTGTGTCAATGGGATTAACACCAGGAGCTGTGCCTGAAACCTAGCAAGAAACTGAAAAATGGGTATCACATGCATGCAGTTGTTGCCAAAGTGAACAAGATGAGATTCTGTACATCACAGGAATACGATCCCTTCCAAGGATCAGAGACAGCTAAGTAATTTTTTTTTTGGTGGCTAATGATGCTAGAAACTTCAGTTAACAGTGGAAGAAATCTCTGAGGAATGAGAAACAGTCAGTTCTAAAGAGCTGAGGATCTAGCTTGATGACATTTCTGATACTGTGTTACCAGAGAAAAACACTGATAGGATACTTTTTCTTGATAGCTGATGGATTCCTGAGCTCCAGACAGGTCGGTGGCTGTTTCAGTTTAGAACTTATCTCACCTACTACCTATAACTAAGTCCCCATGAATACACAGACCTCCTCAGAAACAGTAAGTTCAATTACCTGTAAACAGGACTTTAATATTTAGAGAGTTGAGCTCAATACCATATTAATCCACAGACCTTCCTTTGAACTGTTCCATGCTATGACCTGCACAATAGTATGTGTCACCTACAGAATCTTCCCAATTTCTTTCATTTCCCCTGTCACCTTGCTTTTATGTGTTTCCTTTAGGGCAAAATTTGCAGTCCTCTTTTTTTTTTCCTACTTCTTCCCTCAACAAATTTAGCTTGCTTTGTATGTGATCTGTAATGTAAAAGTTAATAGCAGTAAATCCAGCAAGGGAAAGACATACGGACCTTATCACAGGACTATCTGCCGTTGCATTAAGGAAAAACATGAGATTGCAGAACAAAAAGTGTTTTCATTCATGGGGAAAAAAATGACTGTGCCTAGCTCAGTGTTCTTGATACCACATATGCCCCATTGTCATTGAAAATCCTCCAGAAATCATAGAGACCCCAAGAAATTCTTCCTTTGTTTCAAAAGAAGACAAAAATGAAATGGGAGTAGCTATGCTTCTTGAAAAGTATAGTCATATAAAAAGTGATATATATGTTAATCTGGACATTCCATGAAACCATAATCCCCTTCTTTAAAAGCCAATAGCTGTTATCATTTTATAACAACAGTTTTATAGCTTAGGTCCATTACATAAAAATGCTGGAATTAACAAAGGTTTCTGGGACTCAAGCCTTGACATTTGAATTTCAAAAGAACTCTGGCATGCAATTAGAGCGTTGTCCTTCCCTCTGTGGACCATACACTCTTGCCTCTTCAATAATAAAGAGATCAGCTTACACCAAATAATAGCTTGCTTTTGAAATCTCACTAATTCCCCAAAGTCCCTTACTTTAACTACCTTTTTACTGCCTTTGATACTTTTAACGTTGCCCATCAGAAAATTGCTTTAGGATAGAAAGATATTCAGAATATATAAACTTAGAACACATAAACACATGAACATAATTCTAGAATCATGTATTCTTTCCAGGAGATGATAATTCAGGAAACAAATGTGTTCCAGACATACCCATGTCACATGGAACACCTCTATTAAAGTTGGAATCACCCCACACTCCACTGAGAAGGGATGAGCAGAGACACCTTCAAAAGCTAAGTCAAATTCTAGTTGTGTTGTAACAGTCTGTGGAGGTCAACAGTGCTCCTGACTAACTGTATGGAAACTGCAGAGCAACTAACACCTCCTGGGCACCACAGCTAGATGCCAGGAGTTACCTGGACTGAATCCATGGCTCTCTGCAGATTGAAACATATGCCCACCAACTTGCAAAGAGGAAAAAGCTGACATCACAGAAACTCATCGGAAAAATATGAGAACACGTTCCATGAAACTTATTTCATAAAACTTTGGCACTAAAATTAAGTCAGTCACATTCAGGCCTTACCAAGCTATAAAGGGAGATGAAATGCAGGGAAAAGGTAAAGGGTTAAACCCTAATTTTTCTCAGCCAAACCCTAACACCTCACAGACGACTGAAGGAATCAGAAGTGCCCTGCACACCTTGACAGCTGGGTTTCTTTTCCTTAGCATGAGAGATCAGCAAACATAACCTTTTTCTTTGGACATTTAGCATTTTACTCTCTGCATCACTTTAACTATGTACCTTTTTAATTACTTCCTACTGAGAACAGCACAGCACAGCAAACACAGCAGCAGAACCCAAGTGCCAAAGCTGGCTGCCTCCAGGTACTTGCCATCTCTCTCAGCAGGTATATCATAGAATTTATTTTACAGAAGGAATTTAGAAAAAAAAGAAAAAGGTGATTTAAGTAGACTTATAGAAAGCCTTTTAGATAAACATTTTATGTTTCTGATCCTTGGTTATG